TTCCTTTCACACCAAATCAGCAAGATTCAAACTGAAGGGAAGCAGGTTGTAGCTACTGATGGTGAAAATGTAATTATGTTTCCGCAATGTGATGATATGTCTAGTCTATCACCATGTTCACACGAAGAAGCTGACACACCTATGATGGTACATGTTGCTGATTCAGTTTCCAAAGGTCATCAAGAAGTCATGATTCGTACAGTGGATACAAATGTTGTTGTACTATTCATTGCTGCTGTACAGGCACTTCATATCCCAAAACTGTGGATTGCCTTTGGAACGGAACAGCATTACAGAATTCTACCTATTCATTCATTCATTCATTCACCTATTCATTCATCCGTAGACTTAGGCCATCCAAGTTCACCCAAGTTCACTCATGACAAGTACTTACAACAAGGTGACACAAGGTGACATCCTGCTCCATACCAGGGGTTTAATTCTCCAAGTATTTCAGCAACGTCAGCTTTTGATATCTATACCACGTATTGCACCCACCCACTCTGCCTTACCACAGCCCTTTTGATAGCATTCACATCTACCCCTGAAGCAAGTGTTCTTAGGCCTGTGTTTTGCCACCCTCCTGCCCACCCATATCCCCAGGTTAATTTTGGCATCGACTGTCTGCATACCTCTGTTCGCTGGGTCTCCCCCTTTTCGGGCATTGTTTTCGAAGAGAGGGCTACTTGAGCCTTATTCAATGAGATTCCAGAAGTGGTTTGTGTGATGAGCGATTGGAAAAGCATAGAATATTTAGATTACTTAGGTTTCATGTTGACTTCAAATTCCAACATTTATCCAGCTTCACCAATAACCTACCTTCCGATCCCTGACTACTCTCCCTTTGTTGGGGTCTTTAGGGTTTTCATATTGTGGCTTCTGCGCATTCTCTGCTTAAAGTTTCTTTGACTTAGCCTAGTTTTCACAGCTCATTTAAATTCATTTTCTGGTGGTATTAGTTTGTACTACAAGTTATAAACATCACTAATATTGGTATAGTCTTGCAAACATCACATGACTCTCGGCTTCATGGCAGCTTACACGATTCTACGCATAGATAATCACCAATTTAGACACACAATTACCTATGCTGAACATAACTTGAATATTCGCTGATTTAAATTATAGTATAGATATAAGTTTGTTTGGTGTATTACTGTATAAAATAAATGTTATTATTATTCTTATTAAATTAAAATCGTTTAGGTCTCGCCACCAAACCAAACCAAACCACATCGTGCGCCCATACAACATAATAGTAAATTCAAAAGAAACTTCCTATTTCTAAGGTAAAAAAAAAAATTAAGACCCCCACTCTGAAGTAACTGACTGGTCCCTTAGAAGTCTTTCAGTGGCTAATACCGGAGTTAACGTGTGATATTGCGAGAATCAATGTTGATATTTTTTTCAATTTGTATATTATAGAATGGTTCAATGTGTTTACATCTTGCATGTGCTGGCGGAAAAGAAGAAAATGTGAAGTATTTCCTTGACAGAGGGTTTGATATAGAAGACAAAGCCGAGGTAGTGTATCCTCATTAAGTCATCAATACCAAGTGATCAAATCTTAGTTTTTATGTTTGTGTGAGTGTGTGTGATGGGCAATTTTTAGATTGTATTTAGACAGATTGTAAGTGTCAGATGTTTTGTAGGCAATCAGTATTCAACATTTCACCATAACTTTCAGGGAGAGACATCAAACACTGATCATTTGATATTCATATTCAATCTGGTAAAGTAAGATTTATTCAGAACAAAATGGCACCCTTTCATTTATATTTGACTTTTGAATACTAATGACAAAAATACTTTTTTAATGCTATCTAATTATCAAGTATCTACCCCATCTTAGTAATAAACACTTCTATAATTTCCATGATCTTTATTCTATAAATACTTGTGTGAGTAATTTTATTATGGATGTATTTAACTATCAACTCAATGGTGCCAGTAAGTACTAAATCACTGCCACTATCTTGCTATAATTAGTATAGATGTGCTTGTAATAAATGTGGCACAGAGTAATAAGATGGTTAATGTGGGTGATATATGACATGTACTAGGAGCGCCCTCAACCTAGAAACAACTACATGTATATTTATTCATATTCAGCTTCAAATAAAGTATGATTAAATACAAAAACTAAAGCGATGATACACGATAGTATGATTCAATACTTTGTTCTTATGGTTAACAATAGTGTCTATTATTTTATTAATATAGTATGGAAAAACCCCATTATGGATGGCATGCTGGATGGGAAGGAGTAATGTTGTAAAACTTCTCATGAGTCTTGGAGCAGACATTCTAACTACAACCACAGTGAGTACTGTCACATGACTATGACTGTAGGAGTAACACTTCTGCTTCTTGTGGCTAATTCACATAACAATACATCTTATTCACATAATTTTATTTGCATAATAATTAGTTTCCCAAACATTATAACTGCAATAAAGAAGAGATGGTTTTATACATATCTCATATATTTTATATCATTTAAATTCATTGTATTTTATGTGTGCATCAAGTCAAATAAAGTTTAAAATAGAACAGGAAAACAATGGAAATACTTATAGCCAGTCAGTGAATATATTGTTATCCATGGAGGTAACTGGTTCATCATTATTTTGTACAACAAGTACAGTCAGTTCTAGTGCCAATGTTACTGTCAGTTCATATGACGTGGGGAAAAACATTTTTTTATTATATTTGTAAAGTCTGCAAGATTGCGGGTTATCAAAATATGAAGAAATTAATAAATCAATAATGACATTTTTTGTTTCTACAACGGCATTTCAAAACTAAAGTCAGCGATTTTTCATTGATCTATCAATACTTTATGCGTAACGCTACGATCACCGTAACATTGTCAGCTGACGGCATTGCGTTGAACGGGTATTTACTGCTGCGGTTGCGATCATCGCCCCCTGACTTTTTTGTTTAAAAATACACAAATTTTGAATGTTTTGTTAATTAAAACGATTCATTGACGATTATCTTAGAAATTACATCAAAATCGCCAACAAAATGTTTTTAAACATCGCGGAAAAAAC